TTACTTTACGATTAGCTCCGATGGAGTACAGTATGCCTACGAGTGGATCCCAGTTCGCCACAAAGCGATCGCCACTACAACCTATGCCTAAGCCCACCAGCAATAAGGAGGGGCCGCCAAAAGGCTTACTTCACGTCAATTTTAGTTCAGAGAAGAGTGAAATCTCCGACAGGAAGAAGAAGTATTTGACGGCAAAGTATGGTCAGCACCAGATGAACCTCATCAAGAAGAGACTCAGGGTCGAGACCTGGATGTACGACCAGTTGCAGGCCCTCTACAACATATCGGTCAGTGCAACATTCATTTATTGCTCTCGTCATACATTTGTATAATTCATCTCTTTTTAAATCACACAACCCTTCTCTCCCTTCTTCTACTCTTTAGTGTAAACCTAAACGTATTTTTATAAAACCGATAAAATATTAAATTAATTTATGTGTTTTCGTGTCGACAATTCCAAATATAAATAACATATTGTTAAAAATAATTTAAAATTTATAATACTGTTAAGTTTGCCTTTCAATCCCAACCCATTCCTTAAGCGCTCGTAAAGATCTAAATATATTCACAAATATACAGGTATTAAACTTAATTTCAATCACTTATTATGTCATTAACGATATTTTATACACTCATTATATTATCGTTAATGGGAGGGAAGTAATGACCAAATGGTTGATTATATTGAACTAAAAGTCGATAAATTATGTTTAAATAATCAAACGTTGATTTGAAACATATTTATCCCACAAAATAAATGCAATAAATATTTAGATTTGTTGTCTTCATTATTTCGGACATAGTTTTAGAGATATATCTTTATCTTATCATATGATCTGCCGTTTAATATTTTAATCTAAATTGATTTTAAAAATAATTAATTACTAATTATAGCTGAATTCTTCTTGTGGTCTAATAAACACAAAAATTTAAAGCTTTATTTGTATCAATTACTAGATTTGTGGTAAATTACATTTTTACAGATTATTAACAACTTTTAATACAAATTACAACAAACAAAGTTTTTACAAACTTGTTTTAATAATTGTAATTAAATTAATTAATTCAAATAATGTGAACGAATGGGTTAATGGATTTCTATATTATACACATTTTTATAGGACGACTCCAATGACATTGAAATAGATTTGGACGAACTCTTGGATGTGGAGGAAGACTTGGGGCGCAAAGAATGGCTTAGAGTATGTCTTGTAGTAATGAAATGATTAATTAATTTACATTTTTATAGGACGACTCCAATGACATTGAAATAGATTTGGACGAACTCTTGGATGTGGAGGAAGACTTGGGGCGCAAAGAATGGCTTAGAGTATGTCTTGTAGTAATGAAATGATTAATTAATTTTAATGAATTTAATTAATTATATTGCAAAAAACAGAGCAAATTAATAGACGCCAAGCAATCAAAAGATATCGTCGAGATGTTTATCGTAGAGCTTCTCGAAAAAGCAAAAACTCTTTGAACAAAAGCCACACTTCGGACAAAATGATAGCAAATGTTATAATTAGTGAAAAAAAACTTTTTTTTACATTCATTTACTGAACAAATAATTTAAAGCAATGCCTCAAAAATTGAGAATAATTTAGTTAACTATTCGGATGCAAACATTTCAAAGTTTGACTTAAAAAATGATTTCAATTTTGAGAATCCAAATGCATGTGAAGTTGCAATGCATATACGATCTCGTGGTATAATTGAATATACTGTACATCACATACAAAACAACTAGTCATCCATATATCTGTACATCAAATGATTTCAAACGCAATGATTATTTCAATTATTATAAATCACTACTAAAATGAATGAATGGTTTAGTTTTGCAAACAGTGTTCAGAAGTAATTGCTTTTTTGTGCCAACTCTTCCGAATACATGAAACATCTTATAAACCAAAGAAAGTATACTTTTTTGTTCATTAGAATCATTTGTTTGCCCTTTTTATTCATCGATTAACAAAAAATTAGTTTTAAGTAACTTATAGATCGTCGTTAGAATTGAATACTTTTACTAATAATAACTTATTTTAATTGATATTAATTGATAAAAA